TATTGTTGTCAGTGATCTGACCAGAGTTACTCTTAAGTGGGCTAATATTGTCCCTAATCTTACTTCTGTATACCTTAAAGAACCCTTTTGGGTTAGTCTTTGAATCCCTTGCGACCTTAGCCTCATAATCCCTTTTTGCTTTTTTTATTCCTTCCTTTATTTCTCTCTTTAATTGAATATATTGACTTCTTAACTGCCCATCCCCTTTTTGATACTCCTAAAAATGCCTCTCTTTTGGCCAATGAGATGTTTTAAGCTATTGTTCATCTATTTGGGATAATTTTTGTTAGATCTAATTTCCCTACTCGGAACAAAAGTTGTCTGGGCAGCTAGAACTATGCTCTGAAAAAACATCATATTGGCAGCCAAGATCACCTACCTGACCTATAGTCAGGACATCCCAATTTAGCCCAACCAGGGAATTTTTCAATCCCATGAAGTCGCCAAGCGAAAATCTGGGACAGAGATTTAATTGCAGTTATCTGGGTAATTCCATGATATATTGAAACTAAGTGATTTGTGATCACTTTCCCCAAGCTCATCATTAACCTCAAGATTATTAATTAGTGAATCTTTGTTGGCAAGAACCAAATCAAGCAGATTGTTTCCTCTAGTTGGTTCTGTCACAACCTGTTCTAAAAAGTAATCCTGAACCGTATCAAGAAAGTCACTAGACCCAAGATTTCCTGTCATATTGTTCCAATCAATTTGTCTAAAGTTAAAATCTCCCATTATCACAACATTTTCATATCTAGATGCCTTAAGAATTTCGTCCCATAACAGCTTACTACACTCCCTATCAATGTTTGGGGGCCTATAAATCACACCCAAAATTAATTTGTCACGTCCCTCGAGAAATTGTAGACAAGCAGATTTTGTGTTCGATGTTTCTAATCTTATATCATGTCTAAGGCAGCAATTTAAATTTTCTCTGACTTACATCGCCACTCCACCACCTTCCTGTTGACCCTATCAGTGTGGAATAGTTTATAACCCTGTATGTTGCATTCAGAACGCATTTCTCTATCTTTCAGGTTGAACCAGGTCTCTGTTATACCAATAATATCTATATTACCTGCACTTGCAAGTAATCTTAGCTCATCTATCTTATTTCTTAGACTCCTACTATTTGTATAGTAAACCTTAATTAAAGGAGCTAGTCACTCGTTGCCCTCTACTATCTTTCTTTCTTTGTTGATCAATTGATTTGCCATTACTAGCAACTGAATTGGCTAATGCAACCACTCCATCCCCAGAGAGATGAACCCCATCCCTTGTATACATATCACGTTTGCCAAAGAATAGGTCCCAGTTATCAATGAATAGGATTGCAAGTTCCTTGCAGTAACTGTTTAGCCAGCAATTTATACCAATTGCCCTAGACATTCATTCATTGCCACTCCCTTTCTAGGCAAGATGCTACATATGACTGGGATCCCTCCCTTAGACGTAACTACTTCTATGGCTGACCTGTACTTATCCAGCAGTTCCTCTCTCCTGCCCTTCCCAATGTCATTACCCCCAGCACTAAGACAGATAATGGGCTTGTTCCCATTACCTGCCCAAATATTATCCAACCTGCTGACTATGTCACCAAAACCAGCTCCAGGAAGGCACACACACTGTCTGACCTTTCTGTCTCTGTTACAAAATGCACGGTCCATATATCTTACCTGAGAATCACCTACTATTAAAATATTCTTACCTTGATTGGTAGGGAAAACAGGGGTACCTTCAACCTCACTAACCACTGAAATACACTCATCTTGGAGAACGGAGAATCGATTTCCTACCTTCACATCTTCTCTATTAACTCTCCTCATCTTCCTTCTTCCTGAACTGTGAACCACTTGCCACTTAAAGCGGCTGCCACTATCACTGCTGGTGACCATTTCCTCCTTACCAGTTAAATTCTTCTCACACTCGCTCCCAAACTCTATGCGAAGCTTCAGCCTCCCATTTTCCTCCTGAAAAAGTAGAATCTCCTTCTTCAACACTTGAACCTGAGATTCTACAACACTACAACAAGCCATTGTGCTTGGTAACAGCCCACGCTAACTCCCAAGAGCTTAAGCAGGTATGACCGCAGGTGACCACTGACCTCAGCATACTGATCCCTTCCTGTTTTTAACATTTCTATCTTTATCCCATCAATCCCAGCTGCCTTACCCACTTTCATTCTACCCACTACCTCACGAACTTCCCCCACAGTCACAACTGGCTCTTCCTCACTCCTACAAGATGTTATTCCTCCTTGCCCTATACATGAAATCACGCCTTCCTTATCTTCATCATTTAACAATTCCTCAAAATATTCCCTCCATCTTCCCGATACCTCTAACTCTTCATTTAATAACTCTCCTCTCCTATTTTTAACTATCAAATCCATTTGTTCCCTAGGCTTCCTAAACTTATTAATCTCACTCCTAAACTCTTTCTTATTTTCAACAAAATTTGTTGATAACATCTCACCAACTCTCTCATTTGCTCTCTTTTTACATTGCTTCACCACTCTCTTAACCTCTCTTTTACTTTCCATATACTCTTCCCTCCTTGCATCACTTCTACTTTGTAAAAACCTCTCATATGCTAACTTTTTCTCCCTTGCTTATCTCTTTACCTCAACATTCCACCAATCGTTCTTTTTCCCTCCCACACCCACTTTCCTGTAACCACAAACTAATGCTGAACACTAACACTACATTCTTAAACCTACCCGATACATCTTTGACCCCATTGCCTATACTCTCACTAACCCATCTATCCTCCAATAGTGGTTTATATCTTACACTAACTGCCTCCTCTTTTAGTTTATATACCTTCACCTCTCTCTTACTTGCTGCTTCTATTTTCCTTGTATCCCATGTACCTTTTACTCTCACTGTAGCTACAACTGAAAAGTGATCTGATATATCTGTGGCCCCTCTATAAACAAGTACATCCTGAAGTCTACTCAACAGTCATTTATCTACCAATACAGTCCAACAAACTACTGTCATTACGCCCTACATCATATCTTGTATACTTATTTATCCTCTTTTTCTTAAAATACATATTACTTATAGCTAAACCCCTTTCTATACAAAGTTCAATCAAAGGGCTCCCATTATCATTTATGCCTGGCACCCTAAACTCACCTACCACACCCTCTCTAAATGTTTCTCTTACTTAAGCATTTAGGTCCCTTACCACAATTACTCTCTCACCTGGTTCAAAGGCTCCTATACATTCACTTAACATCTCCCAAAATCTCTCTCTCTCTCGTCTATACTACTCTCTTTTTCCAGGTGCATACACGCTTATTATGATCCACTTTTCACATCCGACCCTTATTTTAATCCACATAATCCTTGAATTTACACATTTATTCTCTCTCTTCTCCTTCCACTTCCCCATGGACAATAGAGAGAAGAAAAAAAAGAACAAAAGCTTTTGAATAAAAGAAGAAAAACCCTAGATGTGTGTATGTATACATATATGCATGTGCATGCCTGTGTAGTGTGACCTAAGTGTAAGTAGAAGTAGCAAGATGTACTGCTATCCAGCATGTTTTTGAGGCAGAAAATAGACACCAGCAATCCTACCATCATGTAAAACAGTCACTGGTTTCTGTTTCATATTCAACTGGCAGGACGGTAGTACCTCCCTGGGTGGTTGCTGTTTACCAACCTACTACCTATCATTTGTAAGTACTAATTCAGATTCTCCTCAACCACAGAATGTGTTAGCCGTTGCAACAGAGTTCAGTCCCCTTCATGATGATACCCATTCTGCATATGTAAATCTCATCCTAGTAGAGTTGGGATTCAATATTAACAGCCTGTATAGATAGTTAACCAAGTTAAGAGAGTTTTCCACTGTGTGTTTACCATATCAACTTATTGATATTCAATTTTTTTATTTTTTTTTTTGTGTGTGCTCATGCCCTCTTTGAATTCTGAGATTTAACAGTAAATAACTTGTGCATGCCAAGTCTGCCTTTTCTGTTAATCACTTTCTTCTTTGTAGACCACACGAATAAAAATTGATCGATCAATTCTATCCCTTGTAAATATATCATAATTTGTAATACATTACACTTCCATCCATTACATTCTATTACCATTCCTGTAATTAGTTCTATGTTATCTGTATGTTTGCTATTGTACAGGATTAGCCCAGAGCCACCTGCCTGTTCAGCATGTAGAATATGCATTGTATGTCAAGAAGCCATATGTCTCGACATACAATATGTCTCGACATACAATATGTCTCGACATACAATATGTCTCGACATACAATATGTCTCGACATACAATATGTCTCGACATACAATATGTCTCGACATACAATATGTCTCGACATACAATATGTCTCGACATACAATATGTCTCGACATACAATATGTCTCGACATACATGACTGAGCTGTCAGTAGCGTATCAATAATTACAGCTGTATTACTTGTGTATCATATGCAGTTAGTACCAGCTATATTATACATAAACTCTTGTCCAGTTACGCTCAGTAGCTAGCTGTGATGTCACAAGCCCCGGGCATGTGAGCACTTGCCCGCATGCCCCACTCTCAGTTCCACACTAGATATAGGTGAGACAGGTAGGCCTGAGCCTTCCCTCACAAGACTATCAATATATGTTACCAGCCGACCTTGTGTGTATTTCTTCGACCGTCCATGGGATATTTCTAACACCTTGTGTTAACCATAGCATCATGGGCCCCTACCTCCTCCTACCCTTCCTTTCCACCCTCCCTCCTTCCATCCTTCTTTCCCTCCCTCTTTCTACCCTTCCATCTCTCCCTCCCACCCTCCTACCACCCTTTTGTCCCTCCCTTCTGCTCTCCTACCTCCCTGCCGTTCCTCCCTCCTGCCCTCCTACCACCCATCTGTCTTTCCCTTCTGCCCTTCTACCACCCTTCCTTCCTTCCCTTCCACCCTCCTACCACCTTTCCATCCCTCCCTCCTTCCACCCTTCCTTCCCTCTTTCTGAAGTATTCACTTACCATAAGATTAAACATGAAGGTAGAATACCACGATAAGCTTTGACTGCTACACTGAAGGGAGAACAGATGATGAGTGAAGGCAACGAAGGCTGCTGGATCTACCGTAGGAGTTATCATGTGTATCCCGTGGAGCATGTTATCAGCCATGATAGCAAAGTCTTCAGGAGGATTTCGCAAACCTTCTACTATGACCGTCTTGAGTATTGCTTTACACCTTCGTCTGACTTCCTCCAGCTCACCTGAGCACACGTTGTACCTGTGGCACGTATTTCTTGTTAACTTTAAATGAAACAAAAAGAAGCAAATCAAGTTTTGGTTGTGGTAATGTTTGGATCTCTGAAGATTATTACTGACGCTGTCTTGATGCTGCGGTCTGCTGTCTTCTGCTGTCTTCATGCTGTTTTCTGTAAGGACAGGAGAGTCACATTACAATGCTCAAGTTCTGCATTGAAGAATACACACACAAGTCTTAATATTATACACAAGAGAAGCACAAGATCTGCAAGTATCCAACAGCACATGAGGAACGAGGTTAATCAGAGTTAAGCAGAGGATCAATCAAGTTTATTCTCTATAAAGATTACAATGCGGGGTTTACATGTTTTGGATATTGTGTGGTTTACATGTTATAAAATACTAATTACAGAGGGGGCCACTAGGACACCTAGCATGGCTAGGTGTCCTAGTGGAACCTATAGTTATAGGCGTCTTAAGGTTCCTTACAGTAAAATTAGCAAAAATGTATTCCCCATATTCATCACTAAAGCAAGTGGTGCTAATACAAGATAATTGGTTAGAGTAATAGAATGCAATACTACTCCCAACTTGGTATGTTCTGCAGTTGTGGATTGCTGTGTATCCTGGTAGAGGGTAGATACCTACTGTGTCCTGCTTAAGCCAGGTCTCAGTAAGAATAATGCTTTTAGCGACTCAAGGAGTGCCAGGAGGTCATTATAGTGTTTGCTTAAGGACCTGATGTAGTCAAGAACTGATAGACTTTGAGCATTGTTTAGGATAGTGGTGGCTTGTGATGCTGTGTAATAAAGGCAGTTACTTTCCAAAAAGTTTTGATTGGGTGTTAGATTATGGAGGATGAGGAGAGTAACTAATTCCTTGGACCAAAATCCCTTCGCGAGCATAAGAACACATCCTTGAAGCGTCAAAACTAACTAGACGTGTTGTGTAATTGACTCACAAAGTACTAGAATCTTTTTATGTAATTCTGTAGTTTAAACGCATTCCATTATGGACAATGTCAAATTAAAACAGTCAATACCAACTCGTTACTCTCATGACCAATTCAATCATATATTATATAAATCAAAATTACAATTCATAAAACTACTCAAAATCTATTTTTCATGATCCACAATCACTTTGTCCAGAAGTGATTCCAGGCCACCAGCCTTAAGGATGAATAAATTTAACGGAATGGACAAAAAAATTCTGTTTATCATGGGATGGAAGAGGAAAAAAGTAGGAGGGTCGGGAAGGAAGAGTGAAATAGGGGTGCTAGGCAGCTCACACTCCACCACCACGGTAAGCTGACTCAACATCGACACTCCACTACCACCACGGTAAGCTGACTCAGCATCGACACTCCACCACAGTAAGCTGACTCAGCATCGACACTCCACCACAGTAAGCTGACTCAGCATCGACACTCCACCACCACGGTAAGCTGACTCAACATCGACACTCCACTACCACCACGGTAAGCTGACTCAGCATCGACACTCCACCATGGTAAGCTGACTCAGCATCGACACTCCACCAAGGTAAGCTGACTCAGCATCGACACTCCACTACCATGGTAAGCTGACTCAGCATCAACACTCCACCACCACGTTAGGCTGACTCAGCATCGACACTCCACCACCATGGTAAGCTGGCTCAGCATCGACACTCCACCACGGTAAGCTGACTAAGCATCGACACTCCACCACCACGGTAAGCTGACTCAGCATCGACACTCCACCACCACAGTAAGCTGACTCAACATCGACACTCCACTACCACCACAGTAAGCTGACTCAGAATCGACACTCCACCACGGTAAGCTGACTCAGCATCGACACTCCACCACGGTAAGCTGACTCAGCATCGACACTCCACCACGGTAAGCTGACTCAGCATCGACACTCCACTACCACCATGGTAAGCTGACTCAGCATCGACACTCCACCACGGTAAGCTGACTCAGCATCGACACTCCACCATGGTAAGCTGAATCAGCATCGACACTCCACCACAGTAAGCTGACTCAGCACCGATACTTCACCATGGCAAGCTGACTCAGCATCGACACTCCACCATGGTAAGCTGACTCAGCATCGACACTCTCCTCCGCAACGGTAGGCTGACTCAGTATCGACAGACACTCCACCACGGTAAGCTAACTCAGCATCGACAGACACTCCTCCACCATGGTAAGCTGACTCACCATCGACAGACACTCCTCCACCATGGAAAGCTGATTCAGCATCGACGGACACTCCACTATGGTAAGCTGACTCAGCATCGACAGACACTCCTCCACTACGGTAAGCTGACTCAGCATCGACAGACACTCCTCCACTACGGTAAGCTGACTCAGCATCGACAGACACTCCTCCACCATGGTAAGCTGATTCACCATCGACAGACACTCCTCCACCATGGAAAGCTGATTCAGCATCGACGGACACTCCACTACGGTAAGCTGACTCAACATCGACAGACACTCCTCCACTACGGTAAGCTGACTCAGCATCGACAGACACTCCTCCACTACGGTAAGCTGACTCAGCATCGACAGACACTCCTCCACCACGGTAAGCTGACTCAGCATCGACAGACGCTCCTCCACCACACTAAGCTGACTCTGCATCGACAGAGTCTTTTAATTTGTAATTACCTTTACCTGAAGAACTCAACACTCATAAAGAGCCTCGTCGTACACAGATCCACACTTACGTAAGTCCCAAGATACAAGCAGTCTTATATTCTTCCCAAGGTACATACATCCACTCTTACGTACCAAGATACAAGCAGCCTTATATTCTTCCCAGGGTACATGCATCCACTCTTACGTCCCAATATACAAGCAGCCTTATATTCTTCCCAGGGTACATACATCCACTCTTACGTCCCAAGATACAAGCAGCCTTATATTCTTCCCAGGGTACATACATCCACTCTTACGTCCCAATATACAAGCAGTCTTATATTCTTCCCAGGGTACATGCATCCAGTCTTACGTACCAAGATACAAGCAGCCTTATATTCTTCCCAAGGTACATACATCCACTCTTACGTACCAAGATACAAGCAGCCTTATATTCTTCCCAGGGTACATACATCCACTCTTACGTCCCAAGATACAAGCAGCCTTATATTCTTCCCAGGGTACATACATCCACTCTTACGTCCCAAGATCCACAGGTCCACATTTATAAATCTGACTCTTAGGAAATAATTAATGTCTTATAACTACTGAAATGTAATAAAAACTTGTAAAAAGCATTACTATCCTTAGATGATTTTTATCTCTATTCGCGACATTTTTCAGTTTCTTCCCCACACTGGGTTTTATAAGGTCAGTAATAAAGCCCACAGTGTTAGCAAAACATTGTCATTAATAAAGATATGTAATGCATCAAAGTGCCATTTGTGTCCCCTTATCGGCATGTAGATGCAAGCTTTTATGGTAAGTCGAAGAAAAGTCATAACAGTTTGCAAGCTTGGGATCCAGAACTACCAACCCTTAACATGGCCATCACAACTGTATATCCGACACATACATTAAACACAGCTCAAATCTCCTCGTGAAAGCTGACTTTGGTAATATTTCTAACACGTGTTGGTAAAGGCTGAAGCGGCGAAGTGTCCCATCTTACATACTGATTATAGTTACCATAACTCACTTCAACACCAAGGCAGAAAAATTAGAAACCACAACAATTTATGAATATTACATTTAAAATCTACTTGTTTTTACTAATGAACGAATAGTTTTAGCAATAAAGAAAAAAAATTGTATTTAAAAACTTATTCTGCACTAATATTTCCTAATTATTATATATGGTAGTATGCTTTTGTATTAAAAATGTTATGGTAAAATTTATAATTTCGAAGGAAATTTCCATATGGTATGCTTACCTGTCATCGATGCCTAAGAGGTATCCAATACATTTCCAGAAGTGGACAAGACTCTCTTCTTCAGACCTCGTGCAGTGAATTCCCAGCTGCGGTCCATGTGTCAGGACTAGTCCAAAAAATGCCCACTGAGTCACTACCATATCTGACTGGGAAGCTAACACAACCTCTGACTTGTGAGCATCTGTGAAGGCTTTGGTGTGCATTCCTCTCACCAACTGGATGGATCTGAAGGCACTGAAAATATTATTGAAGTTTAGGTTAAATTTCATAGCGTGAAATGAATGAACAATTCACTATATTATCACATAATGCAGGTTGGCTAGGACTACCGAGATGGCTTACTGACAACACATCCAGCAACAAAGAACGTGGAAACTCAAGATCTTTTAGAAAACTGTGAAAACGTAATATATGTAAGACAAAAAAGGAGACTGTTTCCAGTAATCAACCTACATCAACTGTGCTGCCAGACCAGAAACGTAAAAAACTATAACCGGGCAAGTTTTCTTGTATTGCACTCTCTTCTAGTTGCAATCAATTCCTCATGGGCAGAGGAAACAGAGGGAAACCAGCGCCAGAAACTATCCCGGGATAAAGAAGATAAAAAGTAAACTACTGTTTTTCCAATACGTCTAGCCCAGGGGCCGATATTTCCCTCTGTCACAGAAACTAAAATAAATATGGACAACCTACCCATATCTTTCCTCAGCTCCTGCAGCCTCAACGGTTTTTAACAAAATCTTATTCAATACCAAAAGCTGACTGATATCTAAAACGAGAAAACGGTTACCAGCTTAAGCTAAATTTTACATAAATAATATATATATATATATAATATATATATATATTTTATTATATTATAATATATATATATATATATATATTATATATATATATAAATTGGGTGCGGGAGGGCAGAAGAGTAATTGGTGGAATGATGAGTAAAGAGAGTAGTAAGAGAGAAAAAGTTAGCCTACGAGAGGTTTTTACAAAGTAGAAGTGATGCAAGGAGGGGGGAGTATATGGGGGAGAAAAAGAGACGTTAAGAGAGTAGTGAAGCAATGTAAAATGAGAGCAAATGAGAGAGTGGGTGAGATGTTATCACAAATTTTGCAGAGAGTAAGAAAGTTTCGGAGAGTAATAAGTTCAGAAAGCCGAGGAAATGAATGGATTTGGGGAATTAAAATAGGAGAGAAGAGTTATTAGACAGAGTTAGAGGTATTGGAAATATGGGGGAATATTTTGAGGAACTGTTAAATGTTGATGAAGATAGGAAAGCTGTGATTTCGTGTATTGGAAAATTGAAATATGTCTTGTAGGAGTGAGGGAGAGCCATTTATGAGTGTGGGGAAGTGCGTGAAGGGAGTGGGTAGGAAAAGAAAAGACAGTAAAACAGATGGGATTGATGGATGAAACAGAAATGTTAAAAGTAAGTAGGATATAGTTTTTGGAGTGGTTAGTGCTTTTATTTAATAAATGTATGGAGGAGATTAAGGTACCTAGAGATTGGCAGTGTAAAGAGGTAAGAATTATAGGGAAATAAGCCTGTTGAAAATATCTAGTAAAGTGTATGCTAGAGTTGCTATTAAAAGAATTACGGGTAAGATGGAGAGCAGGATCGTAGAGGAACAAAGAGATTTTAGGGAAAGGGGGGAAGGTGTGTACACAAAGTGCTGACAAACATATGGGAAAGAATAAGGTTTATGAGGGTATAAAATTTAAAAAATGGAAAATTGGATTTCAGATTTGGGGGGAGAGTGTATGGAGGAAGTGAATGTATTCAATATTTAGGAGGGACCGTCTGCAGATGGGTTTTATGAAAGATAAGGTGAAACATAGAATTGACAAGGGAAAAAGTTAAGTGGTGCACTGAGGATCTGTAAAGACAAAGAATTTATCCCTGGAAGCAAAAAGGTGGAAAGTAGAGATATAGTTATACCAACGCTCTTGTATGGGTGTAAGCATGGGTAAATTTGAAGGGGGTTCAGTAAACTGCAGGGAATTTGTTTGGGGGGGAAATAAATGCGAAACGGGGAAAAATTTAATGCGGAAAAAGTTTATAAACGGTAAGAAGGGCACTTTGGAAAACAGAGATGGGAAGATATAAAACTTTCTTTTCTTTGGGGTACCCCGGGGAAAAAGGGCCGATTTGAAATTAAAAATAAAAATTTTAATTATTTATAATATGATAACTAAATAAATAAAAATTTTTGGGAATTAATTCTTAAATAAATAAATTTATAATTCAAAACCAGGCCGATTACCAAGGAAGGTGCCCCAAAAAAGAAAATTTAATCTCCATTCCATAACTGTTTGGGGCCCTTTTCAAAACAAATTAATTGATATAAAAAATTTTTTTCCCCTTTTTCCTCACCCCCCTTGGGGGGCCCTTTTTTTATAAAAACCATTTAATTTTAATTAAAAAAAAAAATAAATAATATAAAACTTAATAAAAATATATTTTAAAATATACACGGGGCCCCCCCAAACCAAAAGGGGGGGAAAAAGGAAAACCAAAAAACCTATACTTTTTCCAGAATTTTTCAACAAAAATTTAAGGATATAAAAAAATTTCCTAAAAACAAAAAATCCAAAAAAAAGGGTTTTTCCCAAAATGGAAAAACCAGATTTTTCCTAAAAAACCCAAAAAACCCCTTTAAAAACCCCAAATGACAAGCAAAAAAAAAAATTTCCCAAAAACCCATAATCAATCCCTCCCAAAATAAAAAAAAAAGAAAAATAATTATTAGTTTTAAGGGGGGGGGGGGTTTTTAAAAAAATTTTTTTTTTTAAAATTAATTTTGGGTTTTTTGGGGGTTTTTGGGTTAAATTAATTTAAAAAAAATTGAAAGTTAAATTTAAATGGGGGAAATTAAAATAATTAAATATTTATGGGTTGGTTTTAATTTTTTTTAAATTGATAGAAGGAAAAAAAAGGTTTAAAAAATGGGAAGGAGATTTTTGGGTAAAGGGGGGGATTTTTATGCAAATTTTTTCAAATTAAAACCAAAAACCCCAAGATGGGGGGAAAAACCCCTTTACATAAAGGGTGGTTGATTAAAAATAAAAACCCTTTAAAATTCTAATTCCAGGGGCTACCCAAAAACCTTTGAGAAACCGTGCACAGGAGAGGGTTTCATTTAAAAAGGAAAAACAAAATAAACCCCTGCCAAATTGGATTCGGGAAAAATAAAAGCCTAATAACAATCAAAAAATGCATATCTTTTTAAAACACAGCATTGGAAAAAAAGGGAAAAATTTCCCTGGGAATTTTTTTGACCTAAGAAAAGTTTTTGACACAGTAACCACGACATCCTACTCCAAAAATTTTTAAACATTAGGGAAAAGGGGGCCAAATGCGTTTGCTTATTTCAAATCTTACATTCCTAATGGGAAACAGTACTCACCATTAAAGACACACCCACACAACAGGGCCATTTTGATACTGGAGTTTCCGCGGGGGAAAGGTTCCTTGGCCCCCCTGCTCTTCCCCCATATACACAATCCCTTTCCCCAAACGAAATCTCAACACCTGAAACCCATTCTCTTTGCTGTGACACACTTATGTCTCTCTCCCCCTAATTTTGGGCCACCCTCAAACACCTTTGTGAATGGGGAAAGCTGATTAAAAATCGACTTGAGGACACCAAAAACTCCCGCTTAACATTGACAAAACCACTATTTTAAATTTTGGGAAACCAGAGCAGGAAAAGCACAAATTAACTTTAAAAAATTGCCCAACCTCTAATTCCCCCGAAAAAAAGGGGGCAAATTCCTATTTATCCCTTTGACAACAACCTAAATTTTTCAGCACCCATTTTTCCAAACATAAAACCAAAAAAGTACCCAAAAACGGGGGGGATCCTCCCAAAGATACGATACAAACGTGCCCCCAAAAATGCCCTTCTCACACTATAACCATCACTTTTTTATCCAACCTCACCCATGCTATTTGTGCTTGGGATAAACTGCAGCAACACACCTAAAGCCAATAAAACCCAACAAAAAGAAGCCTAAAGAATAATCACTAAATCCCCCCCCTGGCAACACCCCCCCCCACTCTTCATAGCCCTAAATTTAAACCCCCAGTTCATACCCCCCAACACTTGCAAACTGTCAACCCTACACTCCCGGGCCAAAAACCTCTAATATCAACCTTGACCAAAATTTGCTTTTTTTATGGGTTGGGACAGAACCCACCCAAACAAACACCAGACACAATTTTTCTCAAACAACTTTCCCCGTGTCCGACTAAAACCTTTAAAAAAATTTTAAATTTATGTAAAAGGGCCCAAAAAAATTCGGGAAACCCCAAACCTGAGAACTCTAAAACGCAGCACATTCTTCACCTTAAAAACTAACATTAAAAAAACACCCTTATCTCCCTGATACCCCCCTCAACTAACAACACAATTTCCCCCGGGTGGTTCACACTTACCCTCCTCACTCATTTCCCATAAACAAAATATTAATCTCAACCCTTAAAATAATGAATCCTGTGATACCCAATACTGAAACAAATGAACTTGCCAAAAAAAAGCTTTCACATTACAAAACCTCACAAACTTATTTAGTCATTTAGCCATAATACCAATTTAAACCTCAAAAATTTTGGTAATATTTTACAATTAAAATAAAACAAATTTCCTCCCCAAAAAATGCCTAGCCAGGGCAAGCTTTTAAAGTGGTACTCTCGGGTAATCACAATTTTACTACATAAAAACCCAAAACAATAACCAAATTTCTGTAAACTCACATTGTAACCCTTTAATAGAAAATAAACTTTAAATTTAATTAAATTTGGGAATTAAAAAGGGTGCTTTACACTACGGGTTTTTTAAAACTGCAACATTAACACCCCTCCTTAAAGGGGGCGCACTGAAACTCCCCTTTCCCCAAAGGACTCGCCCGGCCCTGCCGTTTTTTCTCTAAACCCCTTCATAAATGTTACTTTGCCACACCCCAACAGAAAGTCAAGTTTTAAAAACCTTTTTCTCCATTAAATCCTATCAAACACGCTCAAGCTTTGCCTGCGGGAAGTCCAAGCCCCTCGCACCAAAACCCCCTTTACCCCCCCCCCCAAACCCTTTTCCCCTAGGCCAAACCCCTCCCCCTTTCCTTCCTTCCACTACAACTGATACCCCCTTTGAAGCCCTTCTGTTCGCCCATTCTCTCTAAAATGTCCGAACCCCCTAAAAAAAACCCTTCCCAGCCCTCTGGACAACTTGGTAATCCCACACCTCCCCTAACTTCCAAACAAACAATTTCTCTGCTTTAAAATTTTCACTCCACACATTGC